TGTAAGTTTGAGTCTGAAATAGCTCCGCCCACAAATGCACACTAGACATGGCTAGGCAAACGTAACAGACATGTATTTGTAAATCACCAACTTTTACACATGTCTAAATCATATTCAAATTCAGTCAGTTTGATTTATGTAATACTAGTGTTGTTGAGTGTATTAGGACGTTAGATATATCTTTTTAGACATATTATTACTTTATAGTTATTTTCTTCGTATGTCCTGAGTTATAATTGAAATTATCTGTCGGTCAGTGCATTTTTATATAAATAAATACCATATATTTTTTCCGTATTCGAACATTGAAGCGAAACAGCTGATTTCCCCAGTCGTTTTGAATTATGCAATTGGTTTCATAATCAAAGTGCAGCGAATTCGAACTTGACGAAGTTCAGGCAGTAACAACTTTTTTTTAGATGAAGACCCCGATTGACGTGCTTTTACACACTTTTTTTTCGCAGCTTAAGCACGACTGAAATACTTTTAAAGGGAGGACACAAGTAAAACACGTGGCAAAGGCGTCCAGGTGCACGTAATCAAGGGTGAAAGTTTTTATCTAGAGGTAAGTAACGAAAGACGATGTTTTTTAATTAGCTGATACTCTAGTTAGTTTATTTCGTTAAATTTATTACCTAAGCTGCCTTACAACTTGTATTTTTTCATATATCTGTATGTATAAAAATGAATCTTTTATTAAACAAATTAAGTTTCTGAAAATGTACTTACAAGTTAGGTACCTGTTTATTGAAGCATATATTTGCTTCATGGAGTTACTTGAAGTGACTCCTTGAATCAGGAGGGAATATGAATGATTCTTAAATTAGTACCTCCCAGAAATAATTTTAAAGTCAGTGTCAACTGCACACGAAGGCATGTATATCCAGCATAACTAACACCTGTGCTCGCGTACAGTACCAGGTGCTACCAGCAAACCAAAACAGTAAAACAGGGCTTCTCTACTAAAAGTGGATAACAGCTGTTTGTATGATCCTCGATTTTAGATACATTTTGCTTAATTATTCACGAAGCTCGTAGCGAAGTTTGTAAAGAACGCATAGTTTTCGAATTTACAAAAAAATGTAATTTTTTTAAATGAGAATCAATTACATGCATCTAATTTGATTATCCCAGAACAATATGGTTGTGTAGAAGTTCGGTTTACCATATCCAGCTTTGTTTGAAAAACCTAGAATATATCTAAGGTAATTGATGAGAAAAATCAGAGGTCAGTCAGAAGATATTGATTACGCCGTCTACACCAACTTTTTCAAAGGATTTTGATCTTGATCATGGGTCCTTAATAAGTACTCTAAATTCTTAATGCCTTACGAATTGGTTTCACTCTGTACATTATCGTAATTTTAAATCTATTTTGTTAGGTGTTCCGTAAGGTTCGGTACTGAACCATCTCTTTTTATAACATCCATTAAAAATAATGTCAGAGAAGAATGTGCGGTAGGTAGTTACTTTATGAAGATGACCTGAAATTGTGTTAAAAAATTACAACTCTTGCTGACGGAATTAACCTTAATGTTCCAATGATCCATAATATTTGAAACCATTTTTTATAAAAATCCTCGTGAACATTTATAATAGTCCATTCCGTCCGAAAAATCATCTTAAATGAAAGTTGTGGAACTAGTTTTTTTTAAGGTTTTTTATACACAGTGATATATGCATCTGAATAGAAAAATAATTAAATAAAGAGGTTACAATGTCCTTTAGCTTATATGTAATCCTTAGCAAAGTAATATTTCTCCTTCTGAAAACTTCATAACGTTTATGATGTCATAAACAGGCCGACATTAGTTTTCTTGACAAAGATAAATGGTTATCTGGAACAAATATTATGAAATATTTTCATTAATCTTTGGAAATATGTTGGTGCAGAGATGATATTATGGCTTAAACTACTAAATTTGAACAAAGTCTAGTTCTAGTAGAATATAAACATTTTTTATTTCTTCTGTGAGATGGGTTTCAACAATTGCGACTACATATACTTTAATTACGTAATTGTGCCATTTATCTAATGGGCTAAAATCCACAAAAACAACTTTCTTTTAAGTATTGATACAACATAGCAAATGCATGTAAATAGGTATGTATAAAAGTATAATACATTTACATTTTTGTATATTTATATTTAAAGAAAACTAATTTCATATTCATGGAAAACTACGTAAGAAAAATCACAATATAGTAGAAGATTAAAATAATTTATATTTAAGAATCTGTGTTTATTAATTTATATTAGTACATCTTTTTCATCTAATTTTTTCTTGTTCGTACTGCTTGTGACAGGCAATTTACTTTATCGTCGTTCCTTCTGGCAAACATATTTGATCCTTTTAATTTTCCTTATTTTCGCTAGCATTGTAGACTTGACATATGCGCGACAGCGCGACACATATTATCATCCCTTTCCTCGACTCACAATGTTTTGCGTAATGATCTTTTTCACTGCTTCCATTTGAACAGAGTTGGATTATTTAATTTATAATAATAAAAATTAGGCGATATCTTAGTCATTTAGGATGTTAAGTTCCTACTCTACAAAACGTTCAGTTATTCTTCAGTTCTCATACCGCAGCAATTCATAATAAGTTATACTTTAACATAGATCATAAAGGAGCGTTATCCACCGACAAACTTATCGCAAACAGTTCGTAAGAAGTTATGCTCGCAATCAGCCTGCGCAAACAGGTTGCGAACAGTTCAATGTTGACGTTTAATACCACCCAACATTGTTTGCAAACTGTTTACGTAAAATTAACTTCATGTATCTTTGTTTGTATCGTATCAAGCTCGCTAAAATTTTCGTTACTGTCGGTAACTTAAAAAATATGTTCGGTGTACCTCAATTTGATGTAGATAGTTGAGACACTCATGGCAGTTTTCTCTTTTATGAATGACGTAGTCGCGAACTGTTTACGAGGTCAGTGCCGGTGGAAACGCACCTTAATAGGGGAGATTTGATGCGCCGTTTAGTATGCAAAATTTACCTTTACCTTTAATAATCCTACTGATATGACTGGCATGTAAAAAAATATCCAAGATGAAGAAAACAAAAGTCCAAGACAAAAATTATAATAACGCATGACTTATTGATTTTATTTTTTTATTTTAATTTTTTTCACAATTAACTCTCCAATATTTCTAATTGTACCTAAGCCTAAATATATCATAATAATCTCATCACTGACCATTTGTTTATGAATATTTATCTGCTAAACCCTTTCTGTAGATTCTAGGAGTCTTCGAGTATTTGTTTAATTCTTAACCCGGCCCTGCATTTGGGTTGCTTGCTGCTTCCAACGTTCCTAGTATTCGATTTATCATGTTTAGTTTTTCCAGTACCCAGCATGTCAGGATTCAAGAATAGCCGCGGGGACAGATTTGAATACTTGTAATTTTCTTCTCAATCTTTCTTCAATGAAACGTAATGAACGGGCGCCTTAGTATTAGTCGTTTCTTTGCATAGGAATAATTGAATTGATTTCAAACACATCCATTATTTAATTCATTATATCCATTAATTTATTTTGGAATCCAAATTACATTAATATGTATGTTCCTATGTACTTGGGAAACTTAATTTGATAGAACAAATTAACGTTTAACATTTTGGTGTGTTATATTCTCCTAATGCATTACTCAATTTATTCTTATTGATTTTCTGAATAATTTTAATATCTGGTTATACAAAATCCACCATAACTAATCTAAATGCTCAATTTAAACGCACCTTGTCCTATGATTTCCTGCCTCTTTGTACAGTGCCGACATCTTTTCATATTTTATTAAACCTAAATCTTTCATGCATTGGCGAGCTTTATCATTGTCTTATTTACTCGCCGACAAAGCTCATGAATAACATAAATATACACAAAGTTTTGTATAACAAAATATTTTGGTTCAATTTGTCATTATCTAAACCCGTCATTAGCACATATTTCTAATTGAAAAAACGAATTTGTGGTTCTCAAAACTGGAGACAAAAATGTGTGTTTGGAGCAGAAAGATTTCCTCCACTTTTTGACTGAGACGGTCCTAAATCATTGGCTACATTGTACCAACAGAACTGACGACCATTGTTTAATATTTCTGAATGCACCTTTTTCTCACATCTGTTTGTTGAGGTTAGATGTTCTCCCACCTTTCTAAAGATTTTTTATATTTATATACGAATATTTTTCAATTGAAACTAAACTTCAATGACAAGCATAACACAACCAAGAGAGGAGGAAACATGTAAAATGTAATTTTTCACCATTGAACTTTATAGTTCAATTATTCAATGCAAGTAATCGCACAATCGCACTTACTAATCGAAAATCGAATACAGAAAACGATGAAAAAAATAGCATTCAATAACACATTGTTCGATTATTTATCGATATAATTTTTTTAATGCAACCATTAACAAAACCGCGTTCAAACTTACATAAATAATTAAGAAGTAGGTACTTATGATATCAGATCAGACAAAAGAAGAACTGATTGATAGGTAAGTACTGCATTTTTGCTACATTTCTGTAGCATAATTTTCCATCTGATTACAGTTGTAATCAGTTAAACAGGCACATAACTAAGGGAGGGACACTCCATTTAGTAGTCTCTTTGCGATCGTTAATATCTTAGAGCATATACTATTGGAGGCAGCGTGCCAGTGGCACAGAGTGTAGCGGAGGTTTAGCGAGAGAGGTATAGGAGTGTATGTGCTATCTCTCTCTAGTAACATGCTATCGCGTACTACTAGAGAGAGATAGCAAGTACCCTCCTATCTCTCTCTCTCTCTCTCTCTAAACCTCCGCTACACTCTCAGCCACTGAGAGGCTGCCTCCAGTAGTATATACTCCAAGGTTAAGATCTTTAGGAGGAACGCAGCCTTAATTAAATGAACAAATCATATGATCCGTCTATCTGATGATTTTTTACGCATGCGTATCGGAGATCGGAGGTTGCTGTGTTGACTTGAAAATTGAAGTTAAACTTCAAAATTTTAATTTTGCAATGTTTTTGTGTAGGTGAAAGTGAGAAGTATATATATTTCAATAGAAGACACATTATGACTTCCCAGGGTAATTACATACTACAGTATGGTGATGTTAGCTCTACCACTGATCGAATTCATTGTCCTTTTAAGTCTAATTTCCTTATTCGAAGAAGATCTTCTTATAGAAGAACTTTTATAAGATTGGATTTACCTGAACACCCTAGATTCCTCCTATCCATGCCTGAATCAGAAACTACCCAATTTCCCATAAATACAAATTCTAGTAGGTAGAAGTAAATTTTAACCTCAATCTTTGTAATTTCTCTAAATGTTTTATTGCTTTCACCTTGATCACATCATTAAAGCACGTTTTCTTTATTTTTTAGAAGCCCAAGGGGAATTGGTCTCTACTAGGTTCGCAACTATTGCTGTATTAATAATTTTCATTAGTTCCTTGTTTGCATTATTTATGGTTTACCGAACATTCCCAAATGTTACCGAGTAAGCTTAATTGTTACAATAATATCTCTTTGTTTACTGAAGTCTTTATGTTTTTAGGGAAGAAAGACAACACATTAAATTACCATGGAATATCGAGGATGCGAAACAGCTGGGTATTGTTTTAAATCGTTACAAAAGTGATCACTATTATCAAGTTATGGCAGGAGTTTTTATAACCTACATATTGTATCCTTTCTAAATAATCCTTTTTTTTTGTAATGAATTCTAAAAAAAGACTAAACTATTTAATTGTAATCTTTTTAAATAACGTTCATTGTTTTCCTTAATTTATTTGACAGCTTGCAGACATTTGCCATTCCAGGATCACTGTTCCTCTCGATACTGTCAGGATTCTTGTTTCCATTTTTTATAGCCTTAGCGCTAGTCTGTACATGTTCAATGGTAGGCGCAGCGCTTTGCTTCTTACTGTCCCAGCTCCTAGGTAGAAGGCTAGTGTTGAAATATTTCCCTGAAAGAGCCGAGAAATGGGCCTTAGAAGTGAACAAACACAAAGACCATTTATTTAATTACATGGTATTTTTACGGGTCACCCCGTTTCTGCCAAATTGGTTCATTAATCTGACCGCTCCCGTGATTGGAGTGCCTTTGTCCCCTTTCGCTTTCGGCACGTTCGTGGGTGTCGCACCACCTTCATTTATCGCAATACAGGGTGGGCAAACTTTGCAGAGCATGACTGCGGAAGATAGCGCCTTTAGTATAAATTCTTTTATATGGTTGGCCGTGTTTGGTGTAATATCTCTCATTCCGATATTTCTCAAGAAAAGACTAAGGGAGAAGATTGATTAGGTCTCTCCCAGTGTATGTAAATAAATTGTTAGTTAAATTATCTGCTGTAAATTGATTTTGTATTTTTATTTTGTTGAGTATTTTCTAAATATTAGCTAGTTTTAGTTGTGGGTGGTGTAGAATTAGAACAAGAGTTTTGAAAAAGAAAAAAATGAATCGAGTACTCAGTATTGTTCTGTTACAGTTTCTACCTCACCATTGAAACATTCTGTCATTGTAAGTGTGAATTGAATAATCAAATTTTGTACTTAGCTTTTTTTTGTATAACGATTATATTCTGGGGTTGTGAACCTCACATTGACTTATAAATTCTTTTGGGACTATCTGATAAATGTTGGAGTTAAATGTTATATTAATGGAGCACATAAAAATGAATTTGTTAAATACCGCCTCCAGCAAAACACATCATGTAAGCGACAAGAAGAAAATCGACCAGTCTTCTTGAATTGAGCCCTTAGCTCGCCACTGGTTGCGCAAGAGTTATGATATATAATTTTATGGAGTATTGACCCAATACATCAAATTTGATTTAAACAATCCTATTATTTTAGAAAATATTTACAAGGTTGAGATTTGGAAATATTATTTTCAGTTCTTCTGTTGGTAGATTAAAACTGGAAGCAATTCATTTAATCAAATGACCTGATATTTATGTAGGTAGAACTTTGAAAAATGTTCAAAAAGAAATAAACTATCACTTATCCAACAAACTTCAGGCAAGTTCGGTATTAACATCTAGCTAGACGCTCCAGATGAGTTTTGTTCTGTCCTAATTGTAAGAGAGGACAAGACAAAAGAGATATCTAGAGCATCTAGATGTCAATACCGAACTTGCCTTTTGTTTCTTGCAACGAAATGCTAAAAATTCTTGCCAGTGAATGTAGATTTATTGTATAGTTGTGCATTGCATTGTGTGTATACATTTCCCATTATGTGAAATTTAGATATACCATGATATGAAAGTATGAGACCTAGTCCACATGTGAACAGGGTTTTAATTAAGGTTAGTCTTCACTTGCTTTATGATTTTAAATGACCACTATACATTTGTATTTTAGAATAAACATACAAAATATAGAAAGTTCCTTATTTAACACGTTGAATGTGTATGATGCACACCTGTTCCACCATGAGTAGTGGGTTCCCATGTATGAGTGCGTCAACTTTTGGTGTTACCAGTTACTCTAGTGGTGACCAAGAAAAAATTTCAAAACAAAGTAAACACTTCGATTTGTGGAATAATAATTTCTTATTGTGCGTCATGCAAAAATTGAATACTTTTTGTACAAATATGGACTTTCTTGAAGTATTTGTCAATGTTTTTCGAAAAAAAATCATTCTGCAATGAACGTGTTAATAAAAAAAACCTGGACTTTAAGATTTATTTTTGATACTACTCGATTTAATAATTATTTTACAAAGGCATATATAGTCCGTACAATATTTGTTTAAATAGAATTCCAAGAAAATAACCGAAGAAACACGTCTTCATAACTGCAAAATACAGTATGCACTGTAAGCTGCTACGGTGAATGCCATGCCACTAATGTCTTTCTGCCTCAGGTGTCGAATACGGTTAATTCCAATAAAGTGACGCAGGAGTCTTCTTGGAATTATATATCAACAAATATCGTACGGTTGATATATACTTTGCATCAAAATTAATACATTAGAAATTCAGCTCTGAAATGACGGCCAGTACAGTGGTTTGTTATTTTGATTCAGTGTATTTGTTCAGGTTAGCACTTAACGGGAATTTGAGTGTTCAAAACTAAACCAAGTAAATTGTATTAAAATTCAGACTTTATTAATTGTATAAGTTACATTAAAAATACATAAAATATGGCAATTTTGGGCATAAATATTAACAATATGAATTAATATAGCTAACGGAAGGTCCAGTCGAATTTTCTGTAGGAAGACTTATTGGTCTCCAATACCACCAATTGTACCATACTAAAAAATATATATTTATTATACTTCATGTGTAATATAAAATACAAATAGATTTAAGTGAAGCAGTTACGATCAATATTTTTTTTTAATAAGAAATGTGAATGGCAAAAACAGCATCTAAATATCTTAATTTTTTTAAAAGATACAGAAAAAAGATACTTTTTTGCTATAATAATTTTTGACGTAGAATCTACAGGCAATGTTGTTATTTACACTTATAAAAAGTATGATGAATATCTTGACTACTTTTCGTTTTCTTGGAAAATATGAAATGTAATACCTGTAATTTTATGATTTTTTTAAATTTTTTTATTTACCTACTACATTTTTATTTAAATCAGTTACTTACAAACGTATGATGGCTTCAAAATTACCGAGACAGTTCGGCAGTTCTGACTACATTCCATTGAAGGCCTAAGAACAATAGTCCTTTCCCCAGAGCCTTGAATCACAAATATATAGCTGCACTCCGTATTAGGTAAAATATATGGCTCCGCTTTGGCTCCATCGATTATTATAAATCTCTCAACACTTTGACCACATCGATCAGAAATAAATGACGGTCTCGGAAATAATTTACGAATTAATCGTGCTGGCACCATTTTGTTGATTCGCCACGAAGTATGTGTTGTGGTATTTGCCAAATGTGCCATATCACTGTGAAATAAGTCTTTTAGATTGTGGATACTAGTATTCGTCGACTTAATTCTTCGTGCTTCAACATTAAATACTTCTTGGTTTTCATTGTACGTATGTTGCAATGTCTTAAAAGTCACTGGTTGCAGGTCTATCTATAAATTAAAAAAATTGATATAAGCACTGTAATTTCGTGTTATAAATGACTCCCGCCATGAATCGTTACCTTTACAATAAATGGTGTACCTGAACCCGAACTAAATGAGCTTTGGTCAACTTCAGATAAATCTAAAACTGCATGAACACCTTCACAAGGCCAACATTCCATATCTGCTACATAAAAGTATGGATTTTCCAAAAGGCAAGTCTCATCATATAAATCTAAAAAGTTTTATTTTTATTGTACACGTGAGGTCTACTCACTTGCAGCTTACCGGTTAGAGATGGGAACATTTTGAGAAATGGAACAGATAAAAATCGTACTATTTTTAAAGTTGGGTATGTTAAACCTTGTACATTTCGTAAAACAATACTAGAAGTAGGCTGATGTACATTTAATAAAATGTAAATAAAAATCGTTATTAATGTGAATAACAAAAATATATTTATAACAGTACGGAACAGTTGTTGAGCTTTGGTTTTGGTTTGCTTTGAGCCGTTTGTTGACTTTTTTATGTCACTGAAACATTTTTTAAAAATTATATCTAGTTCTTTGTTGCTTAAACCTAGGTCTTTGGCACTGTTTCGTAAATTGTCTACATCCTTTTTATATTTTTGTAGCAATTCTTCCCTTAACATTTTTTCCTAACCTATAACCTAACCCTAATATTTGACATTTGTATTAGTGACAGATTTTTATGAGGTAAGAGTAGTATCATTCGATTTACATATTAGGTCTGTTCCAATTACAGTTCTAAGGTAAAAACCTGTTCTTAGTTATTCCTCTTCTTTTTTTTACATTCAACATATACATGATAGGAAATCGTAACTAAAAAATAAGAAATATAATGTCTTTGTCATTATAGAGGGTGGAGAATTAAAGAATTTATGAAAAATTATTTGTAAAAAGGAAAAAATTATTGACTATAAAATATTTATTCATATCTATTAAAAATACATAAAATTGGGTATAGAAATGTTTTAATATTCGCCTCCTTGTTGGGCAATCATTTTGTTGATAAATAAGTTTTGACTAGTAATAAACACTTTATTACCTAAAATAACAGTCACATGTAAAAAAGAATAAAAACGCCAATATATACAACAGCAACTTTTCAAGTTCTTGAAATATCAATATTTTCTGCTCACATACAAGTACGTAGCATACCTATAATTTTATCAACTGATAGTAATTTCTTTAATACTAAAGTAATTTCATTCTTAATCAACCTATATAACAATTTGCTGGTCTTCTTTTCTGCAGTAATACTTACTACAGAAAATTATGATATCCTTTAAAATCGGGGCTATCGTCCACAAAATAGCGATTAAATAATGTACAATAAGAGCAACTAAAAGTAAAAAATTTAAATTTAAGCTATAGCGATAAATTATATAATAAGTTAATATCACAATAATTGCGGTAGTAGTTTCTAGTGTTCCTTGAATCTGGTCCCACTTTCTGACTCCTACAAATGATCTGTAGACCATATTCTCCGTGTAACTTATTATGCCATATCCAAATCCATACAGCAAGCAACTTATCGTCATTATATCGTTGGTCATTTTTTTCGAAATCACTAAAATAAAAGAAAGTTAAACATTTTCTGAATAAGTGAAACATTTTAATTAATGGCACATTTTTAACTCGCTTTGATTTCTTTTTGGAAACGACTATGAGCATAATGTTTAAGGCTTACGGTACGTGACTAATGTCGGATAATGAGTTTGTGTGTGACTATTATGTACCTACTTACATATCATACAAGTTCCGGCTAGAACTAGACCGCATATGAACGTTGCTCGAAATTTTGCTTTTGAAAAGTTTATAACCAGTGGCAGCAACACTAGAAACAAACACCAAGAGAATGCCACATAAGACAATAAGATTGTGGCATCTTCAGGTTGGAAACTGCTATTCTTTTTCAGAGCTATGTAAGGCGTCAGTGTGAAACACATAGTGGCTGAGATGGCTGTCACTACCTTTGATAGAACTGTGGGATAAAAATGTAAATCTTTCAGTGAAACCCAAAGAGGTTTAAATATGTTATCTATAAAGAAATCCATGACAGTGCGATATCTTCGTTTCCATATAAATTTCCTGTAAGGAGAACATCCGCAACAGTAACCTGATTTTACAGTCCTAAATTCTTTAAAAAATCTGGGCTTAGTCCCTCCGTAATTGTGTATATATTCAATGTTTTCAATTCTGTCTGGTTCCTCTAGCTGCTTATTCGACACTAAAGTGTTAATATCTAATATTTCTGGATCAGGCGTATCATTTACTTCACTTGCGTAAAAAGTGTGTTGGTTTCCGTTAATCCTAATTTCTGGCTCTTCTGGCGCCCCATTTGTCTCCAAAGTTTTAACGTTTAAAATTTCCCCCGACATTTTATCTCCAGGTGTTGCTTCTGGATCTAAATGAGGAACGCGTTGCATATGTTGTTGTTCTTCCGACGCTTTTTTCGAGAGCTGATTGATTTCTTCAAGGCGCATACTAATTTTGCTGATCCTCCTAGAATTAATTGTATCTATGGCATCATTCATTTCTTCATTTTCCATTTCTTCCGGGATTCCTGGTAAAATACTGACACCAACTTTGCTGTAATAGGTTTGCACGTTGTAAGGGGTTAACTGTATTGGCTGTAGCAGTTGCTCGTTGACATCGTTAGTGTCATCATAAGTTAGATCGTCGTCTTCTCTACCGGATGGAAGTATAATAACATCCTCTTTATCTTCGTCGTCAGAATCGGAAGACAAATCCGGTGTATTATTACTAGTAGTATGTACTGAGTTGGTGAATTCCATCATTTCTCTTATTTGATTCGAAAACCTGAAAAGAAACTTACATTCGGAATCTGTTGATTCTTATTATTTTAAACTTACGCTGGTAATGTCTGGTACCGTGATATTTCGGGATCCCTCTGTTCAATTTCATAAGGTTTTATTATAAGAGTCGCAGGGATGATGTTTAGTAGGAAGGCGGCAAATATAAGTTTCACTTGGTACATATCGTAATAGCTAGTAAGGAGCAATACGAAATGTGGCATCAACAGAAGATTTAGTGCCCTAGCGACTTGCACGTTTCCCTCATAAGTTTTTAGATCCATATCATATCTTTCTGTTGCTATAAACTTTAATTGAACAGAAATAAAGTTAGAGAAGATTCCTAGAAAGAAGTATTTCAGTTTCAGTATGCGTTGTTTTAAAGACTTACCTCCGAACAGTCCGTATGATATAATTTGGCCAGGTATCAGAAAACCCACGAATAAAAATACCGTTGCAGCGCAAATGGTATACCTGAAAACGTTGTACTTGTTATTTTCGAAATATTCGCAGATATGCTTTGACCAAGGACCTACAAATAAGGGAGAATGTTTAAAGGGTTCTCGGTTACCTTAAGAGATACAACGATTAGGGCAATGTTTCGAAATTTGATGACAGATACATGCTGAACAAAATTTGTCCAAATTATTCCATTTTTTTTATTAAAAAAACCGACACTATTGATTTTTTTTTTAGAGAATTTAAATGTCGTCTTATTGGCTGTGGTCGTATTATCAAGTTGAGGAAACGACGTTCAGCTTGTCTTTTTTCTTGTAAAATATTTTTGACAAAAAAATGTACACCACTGACTTTTTTGTAATTTTTATTTTTTTTTGATCAAGTAACTGAAAATACAATTTTTTTGTCTCTTGAACGTTTTTCGTATCTTGACGTGGTGTGCATCAGCAGCTAAAGCGGTGTTGTCACGTTGTGATGAAACTCCCCAATATTAATACTCGCTGTATTTTGAAAACTGTTAATGACTGTTACGCCCCTGTAATATACAACTTTTTTGTTCATTTATGATTGCTCTATGTCGAATAATGTCAGTGTTGGGCAACAACATTCCCGTTGATAGTTACGTTTTATGTAGTAATTATAAATTTGTTTAAATGAATGTTTTTCTAGTTTACATATCTAATAACATATGTTATTGACTCAAACCGTCAAATGAAATGAACGAATTTTTGCCTTCGCTGGTACTTACTAAATACTTAACATTTCAAAATAGTAATCGATCTTGGAATTATGTAATAAATTGTTGAGATAGTTAAGATTAAAATAATGACATTTTGATGTATTATTGGAAAGTTATTCTTATTTTTGGCATCAAATATGAAAATGTTGAAAACATAATACAGATTCTTAAAATATCTCATTTTTTGTATATATTTTCAGATCAGTTTACGGGAATTTTTACCCCATAACAGCACATAGAGACCAGATTTAATATATCACTTGATCCATCGTGTTAACACATATAGGGTGTTTCAGGATTAAGACGATGATGAGTTTGAGAGTTGAAGAGAAGTATAGTAACACTTTATTTTCGTGGTACAAGTTATTAAAATTTGGAACAAAATTACGTTTTTTGAAATAACTAGTTATTACTTATTTAATTAAAGTTACAGATTTGTTGACCATATTTAACCAGTGGTCCTGGGAGTTCTATCACTAAGGACCTTAGAAATTCGTAGTGGCGGGCTATTTTATAAATTTGATTCAATTTCTATGTTACAAAACACTAAACTGATTAACATACCTGCAGCATACCATGCCGCCGTGTACAAAATCGTCGTCCATAATCCATTTTCAACTGTACAAACTTGTAGACTCACACATTCGGAAAATATGATTCCATAACATAGAAATATTGACGACAGGATAAACTGAAATTAAGTGGGTACTTGTAATTTTTAGATATATCTTTTAATATATCAGTCACTAATTCATACGATTTTTGTTGCTATAAGAAATATTCTTTATCGCTACAGTAAAGTTGATTTACGATTGTTATTTTAAAATTTGAAATCTATAATTTATGCCTAGCAGTAACATCAGTAGGTAGTAGGTACGAAATTAAATTAGGGGAAAGACCAAAATTAACGACGATTGTTTGCAATATCAATATTCTCGTACCTACCTACGTGAAGTTTAGATGTTTATTTAATAACACTTCATGTTTATGGACCTTATCATATACAAATATTAACGATTATACGAATAATATTTGTTACCTTCACCTGCAGGCGCAGGATCTTTTATTTAGAGTGTCTGACATCCTTTAAATAGTAAAGCGAAAAGTATACTTCTTGCACTCACCTCGACTAAACCTATTCCAATTTTGGTGACGAACTTAGCTTTGACGTTTTGATCAGATGACTCGCCGTATCTGTTTAAATCATCAGAAAATGTCGATGAGAATATTTCGGAAAAGGTTACACTTCGGTGCATTGTCCTGTCACCGCAGATATTCGTATACTGTGTGTTGCAGCTCCTCGATGCGTTTGTTTTTCGACTTTTTTATGCACATCACTGGAAATTATTAATTTTTGTACATTTTGTTTATGTACGTCGCAAGGCAAGACCAATTTTTGTCATTTCACAATAAAATAATGCTTATCTTATCTGAGACGGGACAGATATAAAATACAGACTTACGTATTCTAACGTAAAGTATTATTTTATCTGATTCTGCACTTACTTCGTCAAATAATTGCATTCTGAATCTTCTGATTCTACAATAAAATGATTAATGTCGTATTTTGCTATGTATTTGGTTAATTTGAAAAATTAATGTCGGAAGCTGGTGTTTAAGATATACTTAAACAGAGACAGAATTTCCTTAAAACAGCTTGACAGTCGGTAGTTATAGCTGCTTGCAATAAAAATTGAGTCAATTTTTACGAACCGCATGCGCAGTGGCAATTTTGCGATAGGCTGTTGCAATTTTTATTGCAGTTGAAGAAAATAGGTCTTATGCTGTATCTCAGTGAAAATTGGTCATATCGAAATATTAAAAAAAAGATTTTGAAGATTTAAGTCTCTAGTTTCAAGATATTTAAAGGAAAAGTTGAGAAAAATTTTTTTTCATATTGATAATGATTACGTAATGAGTTCTTTCCAATACTTTGAAAACTTGGAACAGAAAAACGGTTTGATGCACCAACTTGTCAGTTTACAAGTTTATTGTAGGTCCACTGGGCTGTAAAAATTTCTCTCAGCATAAGTCTTTTCTTAAATATTTGTAAATTAGCGGTAGATTTTCTAAAAAACTGTAGTCATTTTTTGCACATTTTTCAGTGTCAAGTATGAAAAAAATTGTTTCTTCAAAAAACATGGTAGATTCTTGTAGAGAACTTATTCAAGTTTTCAAAACTGCCCTTGGATTTACTGTGCAATAATTTCTTACAGAGATATCGATGATTAAAGACAAAAGTGTTATTTTTCATTCAATCATATCTCGGCAACCAATAATAGCACGGAAACCTTTCAAAAATTATATTGAAGCTGAAGCGTAGGTCAAAGAACTATTTTATACAAAAATCATGAAACTAGAGACTTAAAGCTTTATAATGCTTTTTTATTTTCTCGACACGACCATTTTTCACTGAGATACAGTTTTTTGAAAATCACTAAAAAATTCTTGAAAATTTTGTGTACCTTTACTTTTTCCAGTAGTGTATTTTTATTGCATTACAACAGCAATTTTCCTAAAACAGCCTTTTATTTTTTTGTCATATTTTTTATCGATAGAGGTTTTGAAAAAAATGGATGTATTGTATGGTCCAGAAAAAAATTGATATCCCGCGTCAAAAAATCTGCGTTTTCTCAAAATCTCTATCAATAAAATGAAAATAAAGAAAAAAACAAGACTATTGAAGGTGTTATTAGTGGCATTTACGTTTTAGGTAAAAAATAAGCTCATTTTTGTATTTAGCTAAATCGCCTCATGTAAAATATTTCTGAAATTAAAAATGCCCAAACAATAACAACTAAGGAATTTATATCCGAAATATTTTGAGCGTTGACTTTGAAATAAAAAAAATATTAATCACTTGAAAGGTAAGCAAGTATTAACGTAAAAAATTGAAGCAATATTTTTTACGTTAATTTTGCTTACCTTTCGAGAGATTAATATATTTTTATTTCAGTCAATCCTGAAAATATTTCGGATTTAAATGCCTTAGTTGTTATTGTTTGGGCATCTTTAGTTTCAGAAATATTTGATTTCTTTTATTTCAGCCATAATATGGTGTAATTTGTATGGAGGATACAAACATCCCGGAAAATAGAAAAATTCTGAAAAAAATATTTTTAACTTAACTTAATCAAAGTCTGTCAAATTAGTCACTTCTAATATCTGTTTTTTCGCTAGGGCTTAAGAACATGCATGTAACTAACATTTTAGCTTTTTTAATTTTGTTTTCAGGAGAATTTCTGCAGGAAGCTGTACAGACAGAAAGAGCAACATATGAAGATGTATGTTCCTAGTACCCAGACGTTGAATAAATCGTCTGGGGCTAGGAGTATATTTTTGTTGTTGCTTCGATCAACATGGCTACAAGGAAACGCAGCGTGTATAGAAACCAAAATCATTTTTTCTTTGACGAAAACACATTTATGTTCCTCTTTTGTTACAGACTGATGAGCACTTTTTTTTAAGTAAAAATAAAAGTACTAGTTTAAATTAAATTTTAAGGAAAAGAAAGGATTTTTTGTTAAATTTTAAGGATAGGTTTTTTTTTGTTAATTTTTTGCTCCATTTTTTGTCAATTTTCAACAAAAAATAAAAATACTAATTTCTGTTAAATTTTAAGGAAAAGAGAGAGGGTTTTTTATTAAATTTTTTGCTCCCTTTTTTGTTATAAAAAATTTCCCCTCCGCCTCCCTCCCAAATTTTTTGTTCCATTTTTTGTCAATTTTTAACAAAAAATAAAAATACTAATTTCTGTTAAATTTTAAGGAAAAGATAGAGGATTTTTTGTTAAATTTTTTGCTCCCTTTTTTGTTATAAAAAATTTCCCCTCCGCCTCCCTACCGAATTTTTTGTGCCATTTTTTGTGAATTTTTAACAAAAAACAAAAATACAAATTTCAATTAAATTTTAAGGAAAAGAGGGAGGATTTCTTGTTAAATTTTTTGTGGATGTACTCCCCTCTCGGTCCAGCCTGGACCGAGAGGGGAATTTTTTTTTAACAAAAAATTAGTCAAAAAAATTCTCTCTCGTTCCAGACTTTTCCAGATTTTTTTCCAGATTACCTGAAGACTAGTTTAATTTGAATTTTATGATTTTAACGAATTGTTACCTACTTCTTTAGTTTGATTGTACCAATGAAAGAAAAAATCTTGAAATTTCGCTTTTTAAATAAAACATAAGTGAATCTAAAGCAAAATTTATTAAAAAACGTTTTGACAATATAACCAATATGACTCAAATTAGTACATTGTAATAACGGATATAAATTAAGGGTTGCCTAATAACTAGACTGCTTCATGCTTCAAAGATAAAGGCACGGCTGTCTTCAACTAAGTTAGTTGAACTGAAATAGATTTGAAAAAAAAAGCAATGCCAATCGCTTTTTTGATTATTGTTGATGGCACTAACTTCGAATTTATTTTTTTGCCATGAATATAAAAACAATTTTATTATGCAGAGTAACATCATCGTATTTTCTTAAAATATGACTTTTATATATTGCTTAAATATACCCAAACACAATAACAAAAAATGGTAAAAATGGTCAATATCACGCAAATTTCATTCAAAACAAAACTGGCTTTAAAGAATACTTTTCTTGGAAACCGATTCTTAGGCAAGTGTACAAATGTATTGTAAAATTATTCGTAATTATTGACAGCGGTTAAAATTAAAATATATACAGGGTGTCGCGGTACTTGTTACAAAAAAGTCGAGTACAAATAGATGAGGTCAAAATAATATCTAGTTCTTCATATACATTTTTTTCATACGGGCCTTCCTTAACAAGTTACGGGCCCTCAAAAAGGTGAAAATTAAGAAAATATTTTTATTTACATTCTCTGAACTATTAACTTCATCATGAACCGAGAGGGCATTGTCGTTGGCAAATTCTTCAGGGAACTTATTTTTGATGCAGGCAGATTGCGATCGTCATCTATGCAAAAATTCTGGGCTGTTAACCATTGGGCATAGCCTGTCCCTGGCGTTCTGGGCATAATGAAGTTACTTACAACATCAAAAACAAGCTATAAGCATGTGTTATCGATCACCAAATTTGCATCATGCTGAAGTTAATAGTTTAGAGACTGTAAATTAAAATAACTTTTCAATTTTCATCTTTGAGGGCCCGTAACTTGTTAACGAAGGCCCATATAAAAAAAAAATTATATGAAAAACTGATAATATTTTGACCTCATCGATTTGTACTCGACTTTTTTGTATCAAGTACCGTGACACCCTGTATACTTGTATAACTTATAATACAGTTGTAATGAAATTAATTTTTGGCTTAAAAAAATTAAAAACAAATAATTAAACATAAAATAAAACACATATATTAAAAACACAGCCCCACAAAAAAAAATTCTGTTCCAGAGACACGAGTACAATTATTTGATCTTAGAGGTGGGTGAGAATGTATTTCTTTCCAATGATAAAAATATTATTTTACAATGTTTTCTCAAAGCATTTACAAATTGTTGCTTTTCATTATAAAGCTTTACCTTATCTTCACTATTTTACCTTATTTTAGGGGATATTCTAGTGTCGTACAAAAAAATGCCCTGGTAAATCGGTTTTTAGGCTGCGAATTCGAATTTAGCATAAAAAATACACAATATCTATGTACTCATGTCTCTGGTACAGAACTTTTTTTTTGTGGGTCTGTGTAATAAATTATATCACAATTGAAATAATATTTAATTTGTTATTTCATTTATCAGTTACACAACAAACATAAATAATACGATTTTTACATTTTACATATGATTGAAGAAGAATCTGGTCGAAGACAGACAATGGACAAGTTCCTCATTGAAGATTACATAAAACGATAATTTTAATAATAAGATCCTGGTCCATTATGACTATTTGTTTCCAGTATCTGAATCCGCGTCTGTCTTCAATCACGTTGAAAAAGAGTGTATATAAGTTATATTTCATCTAATTTGTGATCTATATCATTAGCGTCGAATGCTTCTATATTGGAAGCGATGATATATTCCTTCGGAATCTCTTCTTCGCATTCCAGTTCGCCATCGTTTCTGCACGTTAAACCTTCAGCACACTTCTGCAAGGATCCTCCTATGAAATATTTTCCATTTTTGTGGACGCACTGATAAAACTTTGAATCGTCGTAACAGACGAACCCTTTCTTGCTGCAGCTAACCTCTCGTCCATGGTTCTGGCGAGTGAAACAGACCTAAAAATATTAATAGATATTTAGTTATACTTATTCGTTTCTAAGTTTCATCTTCATTCAAAAATGTTTAATTTATATGCAGTTTAATATCCATGGACATTCAGATTATAACGACTGTTAATTCCACTTTTGAAAGTAATCATTAAAATGCTTAAATATATTAATCAATGCATCATGGCTTTTAGTTCTTATTAAAAATGATGAACCACAAGAATGGGAAATAATTTTTTCAGAATTTCAATATGTCAAGCATGTATTTTTTTATTAGCAGTATTTGGATAGACTATTTTTTAATTTGAATTATTCCTAATTCCCATGCCAATGCAGTTGTTTCTTTAGCATACCTAAAAGCATATTTGGTATCAAAGGGTATACTTTAGTGAATTTTCTTTCCTATAAAGTTTTTATCTTCGTTAAAAAGATACAGGAAGAGAGATACAGAACTTCAAAAAATAGTTTTAATTTTTTTTAGTAACGCAGTACGCCACTGCTTTACGGTAACAACCATGATATTTTGGGATTTGTCTTTCAATTTTCTACAAGTTACTACTCTCTTATGTTTTTCGAAAAAAAGCCTGATTTTCGAGTAAAACTTAAAAAACGAACAGAGAACGCACACTTCGATATTCGAATATAATGCTTTTTAAAATTACATAGAGGGCTGCGACAGCAACTTTGACATTCTGAGCAGTTAGAAAAAAGAATAAATAATGGTTTTCATCAGATTCAAGCAACATTAAATTTCTAACAAATTACATTTTCGTTACTAACAAAATGTCGGGCCTGTGTTCGTGGAAATGGAGGTATTTTTGAGCATTTACTCAAATAAAATCATTTAAAATGATGACTAATGTTACTAATTTCTTTATTCTAATAAATAACCAAATGCTTAGTGCTTGTCATGTCATTTAAGTAAAAGTGTTTTAGTTGGTTTTCTAAGTTTTACTCGAAAATCAGGCTTTTTTCGAAAAACATAAGAGAGTAGTAATTTGTAGAAAATTGAATTCGTTAGAATCCGAAATTACCAGTCGTTATCGTAAAGCAGTGGCGTACCTACTATTTAATTTAGAAACCGATACCCTGTATCTCCGCCACTGGAGCATGTAAATTTTAGGAAAAGCCCTCAGATTTTGGACAATGTTTACATAAATACACGTGCCCAATTTCAAATTATTTCACTTCCTAGTTATTAAATTACCTATTTAAAAAAAAATAAAAATATTTTTTGTTGTTTAACACCCCGTATCTTTTTAACGAAGCGTCCTAGATAAAAACTTTATAGGAAATATTCCCCTTAAAATTTACCAAAGAATACGAGGTTTCATTTTTGGTCACCATTTGTCAATCACCCTTCATCCGAGGAGAATTTAAAGAAAAAATGTTGAAAGTCTGATACTTTTAAAGTAACATACAGAACAAGAGCTACTAATATAAAATACAGACGCATGCGTCTCTATTGTATATGCTAATTTTTTGTGAAATTCCTGCTATAACACTATAAAACAAATACATAAAAATATACTTTTTTATATTGCTTTGGCAAATTGTTTTTGGGACAAATTATTCCAGTTTTAATAATCGCATTGCAACAAGAGATGGAAAATTTCATTGTTACTATGAATATAGGTTTCGAAACGAAAATTTTCTGTATTTTGTAGCAGAATATAAAGTACGAGTAGTTCTTGAGAAATAGCTGCAATAAACCTTATTCCTTTTGTATAAAAAACAATATCCTCTACATGCTCTTAGAAAATTTTTAATTTTGAACAAAATATTTTCTATTAATACCTTAAAAAGTCTCACTGATAATTTAGATATGAGCATAATTCTGGAACAATTGTGTCTAAAAAAATACTAAGAATTGTGTAAGTTAGATAAAATAGAAAAGCCACATTTACTTAAGATTTTTATAAAAATAGTAACAGTATAATTTTGTGTCATATAATACTAACTGATATTAATATATTAACCTTAAATCGCACTTACCAATACGAACAAGATAAGTAAAAACAACCGCATTATATTAACTAAACGTGCAGTGTGTCTAAACTTCTAGTTAACTAATTAAAAATCTAAATTTATCCTCGTATACATACTTATTGATTACATTACACCCACTTCAACTGTTCAATTTTATTCTCTGAAGTGTTAAAGTAGCCGGTTATTGCGAAAATTAACGGATGTAACTTTTATACAGATGTACGCACGATATATTTTCAAGCCTAAGAGAGAATTTTTATTGATGTGAGATCATCTTTGGTATAAACGTGCTAATGCATAATTGTTTAACTTAAACGAGAAAATTTAAATTTAGTTCTGGAATTTAGCATCAGCATTGAATGACTGCGATATACAGGGTGATTCAGAACTTATCCAAAAAAAAATAATGTACAGGGGACTCTTACAAATACAATTTTGTAAAAAAAATCAAAAAGGGTAGTTCGAAAGTGATTTAAAAATATACTTTTGCACGACATTGGTCCACTGTAGAACCTGACCTTGTGCGAGGCAAAGCATACAGTCGGCGACCGGCACGGCGGCAAAGTGTAATATAAAATGAACGGACAAAAAATTGAAAGAATTTCTTTCCCAAGGAAAGAACTACAATTTTATAACACCTATTTTATCAGCAAATTCAACTGCTTTATTAAAATTAATTCGTGGTTTTAATTAATAAAATAATTTGACAGACCTGATGTTACAACAACTGTTCAAAATTTTGCCCACCGACGTGTAAACACATTTATGCCTGTCTTACCCAGTTTCTACGAACTAACACAAATGTTGTCTTGCTTCACCATAAATTAAAACGATATCCAACTCTGAGTTGAGTATACACGTAAGCCATTTTTGACATTTGAAAAAATTAATGTAAACACTATCGCAAAAACGTTATATCTCGGATTTCAGTATTCGGAATCGCCGCACAATCGCGCAACGCGAATGACGCTAAAGACTGCAGTAGCCCAGCGCCCAGCGATGTAAGGGTTGAAAATACTACAACTTCAATAATTTTTTTCTCGGAAACTATAAGGATTTTACAAATTTTTTTTTTACAATATTGATTCTATTTTCCATGACGGATATATTCCGAATTTTTTTTGAAAAAGTTGTGAATCACCCTGTGTATTATTCAATTATGCTGTTTTCATATAAAACCTTTCCGGTCATAATTAGAAAAGAAAATTTGTTTAAGTTTAAAATTATTTTGAACATAACAGCTGTGTCAAAATGTTGGTTGCTATAAGTATAATTATTTGATAAGGGATATAAATGTAATATTCACATTAGCAGATTGACAGTACATTTTGGTTTTATTAAGGTTCAATAAAACAGCTTTTATTGTTTTGACATGTGTAACATTCAATTTTTTATACAGCCATAATAATCCTACCATATTGTATGCAAATATTTACGTAGGTATAGCGTAATTGAACTATTTTATAAGTTTATTCTTAGAAAGCTTACATGTTTTTTTTTTTGAAAAAGTGAAATTGTTAATTTAAACATCATTTTGTTTATTCACTTTTTATGTAGGTATTTGCATACATTTGTGTACCCAATTTATTTTAGGAGTGAGCGGGCTAGGATATTTTCCATTCTAGATAATAAATGCCAAGATAATTATTTATAGCATGTCACTGTGACTTCGAAATACTTTGTAGTGTGTTAGACATTTACATAAAAAACTTGTGTAGGTACATTTAAGTTAGTAACATTCCGAAACAAATTTTATAGACTTTCACATCTACATTAAACAATGTTTAATAAATATACAATATACAAGGTATACTTAGTACGTGAAGGGACGCAACAAAATCGCCTCAGTTTCGAATTTTGCGACATAAAATGTTTCCCAAACGAGACGAAATTCGAGCTCAGACAGACAGTACAACAAACAACCAACTGCAATACCGACAAGCAAGTCCAGATGTCAGTGTGGATCGAATCAACCCCAGTAAGCGGAAAATCTGTAGCGACCAAATGTGCGATCTTAGATCATGATCCCTATAGGATCACGTCAGGGCCCCCATAGGGTGAGACTGAACGTCAACTGTGATACTCTGAAGTTCAATAACCAGGGCAACCTTTCTGGCCAATACTCAGAACGATCTTAAGCTTTTACGCTCCTGGTAATCATTATCATCACTCAATCAAACATTTTGAACCTATTTATTGTTAATAAAGTATTCTCAATAAACTCGTTTTCTCAATTCGTAAATAAATTTTTTTATCAGAAATTATTTTAAATAATTACAAGTTTTTTGCAGGTAGTTGTTGTATAAGTTGGTATAATACACGATTAGGATTGATTTTAACACCTTTATCAGTTTCAGTATCATGACATAAACATGTTTTGGTGCAGTAACAATGGTGATGGAAATGAATTTGAATTACGTACTGCAAGTTATTTATTTAGATTGTGGCGGATTATAAAAACATTTTTCCGTAAAAATTAAATGTATTATACTTGAACATATGAGTAAACACAATGTTTGAAAAGGAATATACATTTAAAAATGTACAATGAGCTTCTACTTTCCATTCATCATTAATGTGCTAAAGTAAATGAGTCGTATTCAGTCAACAACTATCTGCGATAAAGAATTGTGAATATTTTTTAAATACGTACGACTTTTAACATTTATACCGAAGAGAGAAATTATTTGAGAAAGCAGTATATGGCTCTTTATGTCATTATTTGCTGTAAAAATTATAAGTTTTAAAGCAGACTAAATCAAATAAAAAAAAATCAAATTCAGGTAGAGGATGTATTGTTCCAATGTAACATAGTTTCTAAATTTGTTAAATTGGATCAAGAGTACAAAATTTCTCTGCAATACTGAATTCATAATGATCATTGAGAATTAGTATAAGATATTTATTTATATAAAAATTATTACATGCAGTTAAACTTTTATTATGTTAGCTATCAAGAGAGGTAGCTAAATTATTTCATTTTAGTAAATATTAAATTATGTATACGTTTTCTGGAGAGTATAAAAATTGTGTAAATAGAGAACTCGGTAGATTTATGTGTATTTGTGTATCTATTAACACAAAATATTTCTCAAAAACACAATGTATTCACATGGTGTCTGTCCGAGTAAATCAAATATTATCTAAATATAAAATTAAACAATTTAAATTTGCTGAATATAAATTAAACTTATAAATTGTTTGTATAGATTAGACAAATTGTAGTATACAGAATGAAGCGAACAGCAGGACATCTTTAAAAATATTCATTTGAAGAAAACGAGAAAATGTCAAAATTAACATGCAGCAAAACTGCAGCCAAAAAAGATTTTGAGATATGTATATTAATTAGTTTCAAAAAACTTTATTTTATCCACAATCACCTTATAATCGGACTTTTATTCGCACATATGAACCATCTAAGGCAGGGGTCGGCAAGTAATTTTAGGTGGGGTCCGGATACTTTTGAAAATTTTTAACGAGGTCCAGAAAAAAATTCATATTTCTTATTTTTATTTTTAATTGGACTCAAATTTAATCTGCTTACTAACCATTAAGAACTCAAAACACACACAATTGTAAAATACTAGAAAAAATGATAAAATTGGCACTTAAACGTAAAAAAACATTTTTTAAATAATTTATTTGAGTTATTTATAACTTCAAAAAATTTTTGGCGGTGCAGTATTTTACCTTCCGCGGTCCGGACCTGGACCGCGGTCCGCCAGTTGCCGACCCTTGATCTAAGGTGATACCTTATCCACTAATGGAATAAAGTAACTTTCACTAGTAGTAGAATAATGAGAAAATAATAAATCAAATTTAATTTATTTAGGTACTTATTAATATTAATATTTACATTTACAGTAATAGACATTTCATTTTTTTGTTTTATCACATTATATATTTTCCGTATATTTCAACAGCAGTCACGGAAAACCCTTCTTCTATAAATTGTAAAATTTCTTGAAATGTCCGTCTTGATTATCTGGTCCTCATTTGTTAAATTCGGCGAACACTTTTTGGTAATGTTCCCTAGATTTCGCTGGCAATAAAGTAGGTATAACAAAACCTACCACATTTCATTGAGTACTATAGTAGGATCGTATTCGATGCAAAGTAGAGCAAAAAGTTGTCGGTCTTTTATCAAAGGAAAATCGAGTCATCATTTTTAGGAGGCGTAAGATAAATCATTTCAAATTTAAAATGAAATTCACTGTAAAATCTGAAACAGTGGCGCGTACAGAGGTAAAATGTAGTACATATGTGAAATTTAGGAAACAAATTGGATTTATAATAAATTACATTTAAAATAAATAGTTTATGAGAATAAAGGAATTTTTGTAGGAACAAGGGTGCCAGACCTGAATTGATCCCCTCGTCCCTTTATAATGTATAAATAAATTATTCAATTTGTAAAACCCTTAAAAGCGTACTTCATTGGTTGCCTTGACAGGCAATGATTTATTACTTTGCATCGAATATGATCCTACTATAGTAAGAAATATCAAGTCGTGCGGATATTTTTTTATTAAATCCCAATAATTCTGGCTCCACAAATACGATTGTGGTATGATTATGGATAAAACGTATTGTATTCGTATTTTAATTGCCTTTTATCCACTTAAAAATATTAAATATTCTTACATGGATAAAATGCTACATAAAACACTTATACAATAAATAACTATTATATTAATTTGTCTCACTTTCTACGTTCGTTACACATGTTAGTAAAAAGTAACAATTATTGTTGTCTTTATTATTTTCAGAACAATCTACAAATCATAGCGTGTCAGTAGGTATAATTTCCATTGAGTTTATAAGCTAAGTACATCATCAGCTTTGTTCTGGGTGCTATCCTGGGCTAGTTCGGGATGGGTTTATCGCATTTTTAACATGTGAAAGGGATATAAAAGTTGTTCTTTTAAGATGTGCTCTACCGTCATATGGTTGACATTTAACTGCAAAACAATTCTAGTACTGGTGATTCTTCAACAACGGAATTCAGTACTATTTCTTCCAAAATCGGGGTTCAAGTTTCGCGGTGGCTACCACAATGAAAAGTTATTTTTTTAAAATTCCAGTTTTCACATGGTGTGAAAATAAGGTGCGTAATTTGTTGAGGATGCATTTCAGCGTAAATTCAAAATGCTTCTAAAGAGTTACCATTAGCAAGACCAGAAACGAAATGCATATGAATGAATCAATATATACATAAAAAAGAATTGTTATTGACAACTGTCAACTGTCTGTATCTATTATAAAATTTTGATGACAGAAACAAGTCAAAATTCTCAAAAACCTTCTCAGAGATATAAGAAGTTTATTAAACTAGACCAAAGATTCCGATTGTGCTAGACATAATATTACATATTGTTTTAACGTGTAATTATTATCTATATTTATATTATTTTACATTATCATGCATACATATACATACTGAAACGAATGGGGCACACTTCAAGGGTAACTTCTTTCTGCGTCAAAATAAACCGATTTAGATAAAGATACTTTACTGCAATTTTGCTTCCTTAAAAAGTTTTCAGGTTTAAAAAAAAATTTTTCCTATGTTTATTATAACTCAATTTTAATTGAAATTTGATATGAGGGCTTTTGAGTTTTTTAAATGCATCGTATTAGAATAAGATTATAACATTTAGTGACGTTTGGAGGCTGTATATTTTTTTCTTATCTGTTTTGACAGAAATAATTCTGAGAAATTGTGGCAACGTCTCTGATACACCCTATATAAATATTTTTTCGAGTAATTCTAGTAATAAATTTACATAAATGTTACTGTTTAAAAGAAAAATTATGATGTGCCATAATTTATAAAATATTTAAGTTGTTTGCTAAATGAATGCGAATTAAAAAATAATACCGGCACATATATCTAGTCAGATAAGTACTAGAGTCTATAAATAATATAGTTATAAAATTTTATTTTAAAACGGAATATTTTTCGGGATTACAATGAAAAATAGAAAACATTAGGCATCGAATTTTAAAACCAAATAATCATAAAAACTTAAAAATCAATGATCAAAATTAATAATTCACCAAAGTAAAAATCTAGAAAATTTTTCAGAATCTTGATATTAAAACATACACATACCTTAGCATCCGCCAACTTTTTTTTGTAAAACAATCCTGAAAGGATATACAGAGTGTTTTCACTTGCATTTGAATCAGAGTACTGAAGTTTAAAGAGTTTAATAATTTGCTTAGTTAAAGGTAAAAAAACATTTTATTTACAAACATGTCAATTAGTGGTAGATATACTGGGGAAAACCATTATTGAGAAGTTCAAAATTTCGATGACTGCTTTAATAAGCTTGTTTATAAGAAAAAAGCTCACTTTTTATATTTAAAATAATTATTACACAGTTAAATAAAACTAAAATAACTTAAAACTATTATTGTTAGATAAAAACAATTATAGGAATTTTCATTAAAAAACCTGTCTCAAATGTCATATGGTTGCAGAAAATTAATAAGAATTATTACGCGAAACTTAAGCCGACTTTGTATCGACTGATCATCTGTTCACAATGCAGTAACTATGTTAAGATAGGTTAATTAAGACTAATGAATCTACCCCCAAAGACAACAACCAAATCCCAGAACAGCGCAAAACGCTGTTCAAAGACTGTGGAACACCGGTAGAGTGAACGAAGGTGGCGGACAGGAAAGACCGCAGCGTTTCTTACATGTCGGTGTCTCAAATACTAACGTGTTTTTTATTAAGAAATAACAGCAGGAATTAAATGCATTTATCCCATTTCCTAAAAGTACAGGACGTTGATATTTTGGGGTTATGGCTTGGATCTAGAAAACACTCTGTATAAACTCATGCTGACTGCTTCCGGTATCTAAATGGGTTCACAGAGAATCACTTGCTAGGGTGCAGTAACCTAAAACAGCCTAGAAGATAATAATTGTAAACAAAAAAAATGTGTCTGTCATTAAGTCCGCGACTTTTTGGAGTCAGGTTGAACCGACATTGGGGTATAGTGCATTAAAGTGGTTCGTGATGTTGAAGTTATTGTTAAGTTTAATACGTCTGTAAACATTTATCTTATTACGTATTTCAGCTCCCACGAATTCAGTATTGAAATACGTTACTCCTTATCTTCGTATCGCGATAATTTAATTCATTGTCAACAGGTGTTGGCATAGGAAATTAAATTGCAAACAACATTGTAGTGTATTCGAATGTAAGACGCATTTTGTCAAAATAAATTCATACCATACAGGGTGTTTACGAACATTTATATTTATTTTTAACAGGATAAGATCTCAATAAAGATGAAGATTGCTAAAAATGCATCTTAGTACATTGTATTGAATGATAGGAAAATATATCTTTTAAAAATATACACCATCATTGTTCGAGTACCGCTGACTTATTTAAAGCCCAACCTTTTCTAATCTAGTGTCACCGTTGGTTGGCAACTACATAGCCTTCATAAATGATTACAAGCCATGTGACCAGAAGTTTTGTTTGGAATGTTAATTTTCTTTCCTCTATGTTAGCAATTAAAATTCGGTAAAATTAAAAATACGAACGTCAAAGCAGCAGTCTTCAATATGTTCGCAATTTTTTGTTAAATAAGACCGAGTTGTTATAAAAATTTTTTTGAAAATGCAAAATAGCGCTTAAAATTAGTAATAATCAAAATTATTAAAATTTATTGAATACTTCTGGAATCGCCCTCGAGTTACATACTACATAAAATGAGGTAAGTCTGTAAATGGCGTGTCGTTCGATTCTGAGTTGCATTTTTTGTAGTAACCAGAAAAATCCGGTAGGTAATTAAAATTATTATACTTTAGTTTTCATGACGGAAATTTGTGATTTTCATTGTGAAAAGTATTAGTGAACAAAAGGCTCATCAATACAGTAACAATGAACTAACTGACATAACGAAAACTACAAGTTAATTGCACATTTTTATGTACAACAATTTCCAATCATGTATCAACAGAGGCAGAGCTGTCGGAGGAATCACAGTTAAAAAAAGTTTTCAAAATATCAATGTGAATGTTTTTTTGCAAAAAGCACTTCTGCCAATCGAGTTTATTTGTTATTTACTCTTCTAATATTCTCACTAGGTTTTTAAATATGCCGTAAAATTTTTGCTGATGGTTCCATCAGAGCACACTTTTCAAGTTTTTCGACAATCCACCTTATACACAAAAAATATTATTTTGTTAAGTATTTGGTCTACAAAATATCTAAAGTATGACATTATATGTATGGTCAAAGTAATTAAAATATACAAGGAAGGCAGGTAATAAGTGAACATTGATGAGATGAATTCGTTGAGCAATAACTATTACCCATTTTGCTAATGTGTTGTTTAAAACAGATATTTTTTTCAAAAAATAGGTTCTCAGCAATATCTTGTAAAATTCATAATTGTTCTTATTGCATACTTTGAGACGGTATGAGATATTACTTTTGTCTATATGATGTCAGGTATGATGTAAAGTATACAACATGGTGCAAATTTTTCCATGTTATTCTTGGTCTTTTTAAGTTAAATTGTTACTTTATATCCAACTGTAATAACTGGCAATGGTGCCCGTATGTCAAAAAAGTAATCTTTTGCAGAGAAAACTAAATCTTATCTAGTAAATAGGTACTTATACCAATATGTTAAGTCAGGAAAACATTAGGTAGCTGATAACATATTTATACAAGAATTTAGTAAGGATTTAAGAGACAATGGATACTAAGAAAACTATTAAATTAGTAATTTTGTTCATAGGGCATTCAGTATCAAGTGAGATGTGAAAAGAAACATGCGTTTGATATTTGGGCTAATAGCCCTATTATTTTATAATGTAAGTTACAAAGATTTGTATACAATTTCATGTTTTTTTTTCATGTGATTTAAATATTTAAAGGTCTAATTTAATTGACTGTTATACATACTTATTTTAATTAATTATTAATCATTAAAAAAAAAATCTGAAAATTTGTTTCCAAAGTTCTTTTTTTTAACGCTGTTGCAGCCTTTTTATTTAGAATTCTTTGAAGTATTTGTGTTCAGAAATTATTGTGAATGTTAAGTACCTATTTTTAATAATTCAGTAAGCACGTAACTAAAACACCCTGAAGGATAAGTATTATATCTACGTCTCTTCTCTTTCAGAAATAGTATAAAACGAGCACTTTCTATTTAAAGTAAAAAAAATTGCCTATCTTGTTATTGTATTTAAGGGTTTACGGATGTATTTTTCTCTATAAAACTATAAACAGCTTCATACCCTTATGTCTTTTAGTACCTATATCTGTTGGCGACATATTTACAAAAAAAAAAAAAAAATTGTGCCATCTACTAACAATATAAAAGTTCATTGAAAAAATAATATCCAGCCTTTATTTTAATTTTACCTTACCAGTAAAACGGCCGCTGATGTTAACTTTGTTAATTTAAATGGAACACCCTGCATATGTTTGCATGTTTGGATAGAACGTTCCCTGTCGAGCATAGTCATATAAGATTTATTGGGTCCATCTTTAACAATAAGGGACATACTACTAAAAAACGAAAAGAAGGTTTATTATTATGAAAATAATACATCTTATAATTGTTATTTCTGCATTTTTTTCCAATTCTGTAAGGATTTTTACAGATTTAGTTATAATATATTTTGACATATTTTGACATATCGGACATTGATATGGTCCAAAATACGCATAAGTATTTTACTAAATCTCACTCATTACTCATGGACAATGTTATATGGTAGGTCGTGACAATGACAGGTAGTACTATCATGATAACATTGTTACTGATTGGCAGTCGAAAATTGAAAATTCATTTGGAATTAAAATAGAGTATGAAAAAGAACTTTATTTCAATTTTCTACTTCTGAGTAACCTATTTTAATTAAATAATAATACAAACTGTCATACCATATAACATTGTCCATGAATTAGGCCTCTCACGGCCTAATTAGTGAGATTTAGTTAAAATTCCTATATGCATTTTGGACCATATCAATGACCAATATGGCAAAATATATTTGTAAATCTTTATGTACCTAATTGGAAAAACGGCAGAAATGCCTGAAAGAGGTCTAACAGTTACATCTTATTTTCTTAATAAAAAAACATCTTTTCGTTTTTTAATAGTATCTCCCTTATTGTTAGAGATGGGCCCAACACATCCTATATGAGTATGCTCGACAGGAACGTTCTATATAAATATGTAAAAATATACAGGGTGTTCCATTTAAATTAACAAAGTTAACATCCGCGGCCATTTTGTTTGGACTCAATTAGATTTTCTACCAGCATTTTCGAAAAATTCATAAAAAATTGTATAACTTTTATATTTCACATTTTTTTATAACTCTAAACACAAAAAAGTATATGGGGGGTCAAAATATAGTGAATCACTCTGTAGATGTCACTTATGATAGTAAACGAGGTAATTGAACAACTCTACTTATAATTTTGTCGAGGGTTGTGCTATACATTATATTTCTTTTGTTTTAAAGATGAAGGGTTTATTAAAATTATTCCCTGTTGTAATAGTTTTGAGTTAACTATTTTTTCTCATTAGATCGTTTTCGATCTGAAATAATTACGTAATTTCAGAGGTAATTTATTTGCTGACAGAAACAAAATAACGTATTCTAATTTAAAGGTACTTGAAAGAAATTGACGGATCTCTTATAAAAACTGCCGAATATGATTACTGTTGTCAATACAAAAAAAAAATGTTTTTTTGTGTGTTACATAAAAGAGGAGAGCAAAATTAAGCCGTTCTCAGAATTTTATCCTCAAAAATTGTAAAGAATAAACAAGTATTAATTAAAATTTGTCAGTTAAATAAAACTCACTAATATATAAATTACTGCCTGTCTTGTTCTCACTTAATTTATATCTTATAGATATGCTGCATTAATACGCAACTCATTGATTGTAAAGGTAAAGGATTCAAATGCTATGACGAAACCAGCTTTTATCAATGCGTTGTAACGGCAAACTCTACTCAAGTTATTGGTTTACCACAAGAATGTCCAGAAGGATTAATTTGTAGCGACTTATTGGACTTGGAATGCGATGAGCCATGGGTACTAGATTTGCTTACCACAACACAAAAATCACTTGACGACATTTCTACTTCAAGTGAAGAATCGACAACTATTACTGTTTCCTCCACGCTAACGACTGAGGAGCCCACTACTACAACAGAAGGTTCGACATCTACTACAGTTTCCTCCACGTTAACGCCTGAAGAGTCTACTACTACAACAGAAGGGTCGACGACAACTACTGTTTCACCTTCTACAACACCTGAGGAAACTACTACTACAACAGAAGGGTCGACAACCGCCACTGTTTCTTCCACGCTAACGCCTGAAGAACCCACCACAGAAGAGGGGTCGACAACAACTACTGTTTCACCTTCTCCAACACCTGAGGAAACTACCACTACAACAGAAGGGTCGACAACTACCACTGTTTCTTCCACGCTAACTCCTGAAGAACCCACTACAACAGAAGGGTCGACAACAACTACAGTTTCCTCCACATTAACGCCTGAAGAGCCCACTTCTACTACAGAAAGGTCGACATTAACGTCTGAAGAGTCCACTACTACAACAGAAGGGTCGACAACAACTACTGTTTCCTCCACGTTAACGCCTGAAGAGCCCACTGCTACGACAGAAGCGTCGACAACAACTACATTTTCAATTTCGACAACACCTGAGGAACCTACTACTACAGCAGCAGGGTCGACAACCACTACTGTTTCTTCCACGCTAACGCCTGAAGAATCCACTACAACAGAAGGGTCGACAACAACTACAGTTTCCTCCACGTTAACGTCTGAAGAGCCCACTACTACAACAGAAGGGTCGACAACAACTACTATTTTACTTTCGACAACTCCTGAGGCATCTACCACTACAACAGAACGGTCGGCATCTACCACTGTATCTTCCACGCTAACGCCTGAAGATCCCACTACAACAGAAGGGTCGACAACAACTAATGTTTCACCTTCTACAACACCTGAGGAATCTACTACTACAACAGATGGGTCGACAACAACTACTGTTTCACCTTCGACAACTCCTGAGGTATCTACCACTACAACAGAAGCGTCGACAACTACCACTGTTTCTTCCACGCTAACGCCTGAGGCGTCCACTACTACAACAGAAGGGTCGACGACAACCACTCTTTCACCTTCTACAACACCTGAGGATTCTACTACTTCAACAGAAGTGTCGACAACAACTACTGTTTCAGCGTCGACAACACCTGAGGAATCTACCAATACAACAGAATGGTCGACAACTACCGCTGTTTCACCTTCGACTACACCTGAGGCGACTACTACTACAACAGAAGGGTCCACGAGTTCTGTTTTATCTTCGACTACATCTGAGGAATCTACCACGACAACAGTAGGGTCGACAACCACCACTGTTTCTTCCACGCTAACGCCTGAGGCGTCCACTACTACAACAGAAGTGTCGACGACAACTACTGTTCCACCTTCGACTACACCAGAGGACTCTACCACTACAACAGAAGGGTCGACAACTACCACTGTTTCTTCCACGCTAACGCCTGAAGAACCCACTACAACGGAAGGGTCGACAACAACTACTGTTTCACCTTCTACAACACCTGAGGATTCTACTACTACAACAGAAGGGTCGACAACTACCACTGTTTCTTCCACGCTAACGCCTGAAGGACCCACTACAACAGAGGAGTCGACAACAACTACTGTTTCACCTTCAACAACACCTAAGGAACCTACTACTACAACAGAAGGGTCCACGACTACTGCTTTACCTTCGACTACACCTGAGGCATCTACCACTACAACAGTAGGGTCGACAACCACCACTGTTTCTTCCACGCTAACGCCTGAAGAGTCTACTACTACAACAGAAGTGTCGACGACAACTACTGTTTCACCTTCGACTACACCAGAGGACTCTACCACTACAACAGAAGGGTCGACAACTACCACTGTTTCTTCCACGCTAACGCCTGAAGAACCCACTGCAACAGAAGGGTCGACAACAACTACTGTTTCACCTTCTACAACACCTGAGGAATCTACTACTACAACAGAAGAGTCGACAACAACTACTGTTTCTTCCACGCTAACGCCTGAAGAACCCACTACAACAGAAGGGTCGACGATAACTACTGTTTCAACTTCTACAACAACTGAGGAATCTACTACTACAACAGAAAGGTCAACAGCAACTACTGTTTCCTCCACGTTAACGCCTGAAGAGCCCACTACTGCAACAGAAGCGTTTACAACAACTACTGTTTCACCTTCGACAACTCCTGAGGTATCTACCACTGCAACAGTAGGGTCGACAACTACCACTGCTTCTTCCACGCTATCGCCTGAACAGCCCACTACAACAGAAGGGTCGACAACAACCACTGTTTCATCTTCGACAACTCCTGAGGTATCTACTACTACAACAGAAGTGGCGACAACAACTACTGTTTCTTCCACGTTAACGCCTGAAGAGCCCACTACTACAAGAGAAGCGTCTACAACAACTACTCTTCCACCTTCTACAACACCTGAGGAATCTACTACTACAACAGAAGGGTCGACAACAACTACTGTTTCATCCACGCTAACGCCTGAAGAACCCACTACAACAGAAGGGTCGACGACAACTAATGTTTCACCTTCTACAACACCTGCCGAATCTACTACTACAACAGAAGGGTCGACAACAACTACTGTTTCACCTTCGACAACTCCTGAGGCATCTACCACTACAACAGAAGGGTCATCAACTACCACTGTTTCTTCAACGTTATCGCCTGAACAACCCACTACAACAGAAGGGTCGACAACAACCACTGTTTCTTCCACGCTAACGCCTGAAGAAACCACTACAACAGAAGGGTCGACAACAACTACTGTTTCACCTTCTACAACACCTGAGGAATCTACTACCACAACAGAAGTGTCGACAACAACTACTGTTTCTTCCACGTTAACGCCTGAAGAGCCCACTACTACCAGAGAAGCGTCTACAACAACTACTCTTCCACCTTCTACAACACCTGAGGAATCTACTACTACAACAGAAGTGTCGACAACAACTACTACTTCACCTTCGACAACTCCTGAGGGTTCTACCACTACAACAGAAGGGTCGACAACCACAACTGTTTCTTCCACGTTGACGCCTGAAGAACCCACTACAACAGAAGGGTCGATAACAACTACTGTTTCTTCCACGTTAACGCCTGAAGAGCCCAATACTACAACAGGAGCGTCTACAACAACTACTGTTTCACCTTCGACAACAACTGAGGAATCTACTACTACAACAGAAGGGTCGACAACAACCACTGTTTCTTCCACGCTAACGCCTGAGGTGTCCACTACTACATCAGAAGGGTCGACGACAACTACTTTTTCACCTTCTTCAACACCTGAGGAATCTACTACTACAACAGAAGGGTCGACAACAACTACTGTTTCACCTTCCACAACACCTGAGGAATCTGCTACTACAGCAGAAGGGACGACAACAACTACTGTTTCACCATCGACAACACCTGAAGAATCTACTACTACAACAGAAAGGTCGACAACAACTACTGTTTCTTCCACGTTAACGCCTGAAGAACCCACTACAACAGAAGGGTCGACGACAACTACTGTTTCAACTTCTACAACACCTGAGGAATCTACCACTACAACAGAAGGGTCGACAACAACTACTCTTTCACCTTCTACAACACCTGAGGAATCTACTACTACAACAGAAGGGTCGACAACAACTACTGTTTCACCTTCCACAACACCTGAGGAATCTGCTACTACAGCAGAAGGGACGACAACAACTACTGTTTCACCATCGACAACACCTGAGGAATCTACTACTACAACAGAAAGGTCGACAACAACTACTGTTTCTTCCACGTTAACGCCTGAAGAACCCACTACAACAGAAGGGTCGACGACAACTACTGTTTCAACTTCTACAACAACTGAGGAATCTACTACTACAATAGAAGGGTCAACAACAACCACTGTCTCACCTTCCACAACACCTGAGGAATCTACTACTACAGCAGAAGGGTCGACAACAACTACTGTTTCCTCCACGTTAACGCCTGAAGAGCCCACTACTACAACAGGAGCGTCTACAACAACTACTGTTTCACCTTCGACAACACCTGAGGCATCTACTATTACAGCAGAAGGGACGACAACAATTAATGTTTCACCATCGACAACACCTGAGGAATCTACTACTACAACAGGAGGGTCGACAACTACCACTGTTTCTTCCACACTAACGCCTGAAGAGTCCACTACTACATCAGAAGGGTCGACGACAACTACTCTTTCACCTTCTACAACACCTGAGGAATCTACTACTACAACAGAAGGGACGACAACAACTACTGCTTCACCTTCCACAACACCTGAGAAATCTACTACTACAGCAGAAGGGACGACAACAACTACTGTTTCACTATCGACAACACCTGAGGCATCTACTACTACAACAGGAGGTTTGACAACTACCACTGTTTCTTCCACACTAACGCCTGAGGAGTCCACTACTACATCAGAAGGGTCGACGACAACTACTCTTTCACCTTCTACAACACCTGAGGAATCTACTACTACAACAGAAGGGTCGACAACAACTACTGCTTCACCTTCGACAACTCCTGAGGCATCTACCACTACAACAGAAGGGTCGACAACTACCACTGTTTCTTCCACGCTAACGCCTGAGGCGTCCACTACTACATCAGAAGGGTCGACGACAACTACTCTTTCACCTTCTACAACACCTGAGGAATCTACTACTACAACAGGAGGGTCGACAACTACCACTGTTTCTTCCACACTAACGCCTGAGGAGTCCACTACTACATCAGAAGGGTCGACGACAACTACTCTTTCACCTTCTACAACACCTGAGGAATCTACTACTACAACAGAAGGGTCGACAACAACTACTGCTTCACCTTCGACAACTCCTGAGGCATCTACCACTACAACAGAAGGGTCGACAACTACCACTGTTTCTTCCACACTAACGCCTGAGGCGTCCACTACTACATCAGAAGGGTCGACGACAACTACTCTTTCACCTTCTACAACACCTGAGGAATCTACTACTACAACAGAAGGGTCGACAACAACTACTGTTTCCTCCACCTTAACGCCTGAAGAGCCCACTACTACAACAGAAGCGTCTACAACAACTACTGTTTCACCTTCGACAACACCTGAGGAATCTACTACTACAACAGGAGGGTCGACAACTACCACTGTTTCTTCCACACTAACGCCTGAGGAGTCCACTACTACATCAGAAGGGTCGACGACAACTACTCTTTCACCTTCTACAACACCTGAGGAATCTACTACTACAACAGAAGGGTCGACAACAACTACTGTTTCACCTTCGACAACACCTGAGGAATCTACTACTACAACAGGAGGGTCGACAACTACCACTGTTTCTTCCACACTAACGCCTGAGGAGTCCACTACTACATCAGAAGGGTCGACGACAACTACTCTTTCACCTTCTACAACACCTGAGGAATCTACTACTACAACAGAAGGGTCGACAACAACTACTGTTTCACCTTCGACAACACCTGAGGAATCTACTACTACAACAGGAGGGTCGACAACTACCACTGTTTCTTCCACACTAACGCCTGAGGAGTCCACTACTACATCAGAAGGGTCGACGACAACTACTCTTTCACCTTCTACAACACCTGAGGAATCTACTACTACAACAGAAGGGTCGACAACAACTACTGTTTCACCTTCGACAACACCTGAGGAATCTACTACTACAACAGGAGGGTCGACAACTACCACTGTTTCTTCCACACTAACGCCTGAGGAGTCCACTACTACATCAGAAGGGTCGACGACAACTACTCTTTCACCTTCTACAACACCTGAGGAATCTACTACTACAACAGAAGGGTCGACAACAACTACTGTTTCACCTTCGACAACTCCTGAGGCATCTACCACTACAACAGAAGGGTCGACAACTACCACTGTTTCTTCCACACTAACGCCTGAGGCGTCCACTACTACATCAGAAGGGTCGACGACAACTACTCTTTCACCTTCTACAACACCTGAGGAATCTACTACTACAACAGAAGGGTCGACAACAACTACTGTTTCACCTTCGACAACACCTGAGGAATCTACTACTACAACAGGAGGGTCGACAACTACCACTGTTTCTTCCACACTAACGCCTGAGGAGTCCACTACTACATCAGAAGGGTCGACGACAACTACTCTTTCACCTTCTACAACACCTGAGGAATCTACTACTACAACAGAAGGGTCGACAACAACTACTGTTTCACCTTCGACAACACCTGAGGAATCTACTACTACAACAGGAGGGTCGACAACTACCACTGTTTCTTCCACACTAACGCCTGAGGAGTCCACTACTACATCAGAAGGGTCGACGACAACTACTCTTTCACCTTCTACAACACCTGAGGAATCTACTACTACAACAGAAGGGTCGACAACAACTACTGTTTCACCTTCGACAACACCTGAGGAATCTACTACTACAACAGGAGGGTCGACAACTACCACTGTTTCTTCCACACTAACGCCTGAGGAGTCCACTACTACATCAGAAGGGTCGACGACAACTACTCTTTCACCTTCTACAACACCTGAGGAATCTACTACTACAACAGAAGGGTCGACAACAACTACTGTTTCACCTTCGACAACACCTGAGGAATCTACTACTACAACAGGAGGGTCGACAACTACCACTGTTTCTTCCACACTAACGCCTGAGGAGTCCACTACTACATCAGAAGGGTCGACGACAACTACTCTTTCACCTTCTACAACACCTGAGGAATCTACTACTACAACAGAAGGGTCGACAACAACTACTGCTTCACCTTCGACAACTCCTGAGGAATCTACCACTACAACAGAAGGGTCGACAACTACCACTGTTTCTTCCACGCTAACGCCTGAGGCGTCCACTACTACATCAGAAGGGTCGACGACAACTACTCTTTCACCTTCTACAACACCTGAGGAATCTACTACTACAACAGAAGGGTCGACGACAACTACTGTTTCACCTTCGACAACACCTGAGGCACCGACCACTACAACAGAAGGGTCGACAACAACTACTGTTTCACCATCGACAACTTCTGAAATATCTACCACTACAACAGAAGGGTCGACAACAACTACTGTTTCACCTTCCACAACACCTGAGGAATCTACTACTACAGCAGAAGGGACGACAACAATTAATGTTTCACCATCGACAACACCTGAGGATTCTACTACTACAACAGGAGGGTCGACAACTACCACTGTTTCTTCCACACTAACGCCTGAAGAGTCCACTACTACATCAGAAGGGTCGGCGACAACTACTCTTTCACCTTCTACAACACCTGAGGAATCTACTACTACAACAGAAGGGTCGACGACAATTACTGTTTCACCTTCGACAACACCAGAGGCACCAACCACTACAACAGCAGGGTCGACAACAACTACAGTTTCACCTTCGACTACACCTGAGGCGACTACTACCACAGCAGATGGGTCGACAACAACTACTGTTTCACCTTCAACAACACCTGAGGAATCTACTACTACATCAGAAGTGTCGACAACAACTACTGTTTCCTCCACGTTAACACCTGAAGAGCCCACTACTACAACAGAAGCGTCGACAACAACTACTGTTTTACCTTCGACAACACCTGAGGAATCTACTACTACAAGAGAAGGGTCGACACCAATTACTGTATCACCTTCGTCAACACCTGAAAAATCTACTACTACAGCAGAAGGGTCGACAACAACTACTGTTTCACCTTCGACAACTTCTGAGGATTATACCACTACAACAGAATGGTCGACAACAACTACTCTTTCACCTTCTACAACACCTGAGGAATCTACTACTACAACAGAAGGGTCGACAACAACTACTGTTTCTTCCACGCTAACGCCTGAAGAACCCACTACAACGGAAGGGTCGACGACAACTACTGTTACAACTTCTATAACAACTGAGGAATCTACTACTACAACAGAAGGGTCGACAACAACTATTGCTTCACCTTCGACAACTCCTGAGGCATCTACCACAACAACAGAAGCGTCGATAATTACCACTGTTTCTTCCACGCTAACGCCTGAGGCGTCCACTACTACAACAGAAGGGTCGAAGACAACTACTGTTTCACCTTCGACAACACCTGAGGCATCTACTACTACAACAGAAGGGTCGACAACAACTACTGTTTCACCTTCGATAACTTCTGAGGCATCTACCACTACAACAGAAGGGTCGACAACAACCACTCTTTCACCTTCTACAACACCTGAGGAATCTACTACTACAACAGAAAAGTCGACAACAACTACTGTTTCTTCCACGCTAACGCCTGAAGAACCCACTACAACAGAAGGGTCGACGACAACTACTGTTTCAACTTCTACAACAACTGAGGAATCTACTACTACAACAGAAGGGTCGACAACAACTACTGCTTCACCTTCGACAACTCCTGAGGTATCTACCACTACAACAGAAATGTCGACAACAACTACTGTTTCCTCCACGTTAACGCCTGAAGAGCCCACTACTACAGAAGGGTCGACAACAACTACTGTTTCACCTTCGACAGCTCCTGAGGGATCTACCACTACAACAGAAGGGTCGACAACTACCACTGTTTCTTCCACGCTAACGCCTGAAGAACCCACTACAACAGAAGGGTCGACGACAACTACTGTTTCAACTTCTACAACATCTGAGGAATCAACTACTACAACAGAAGGGTCGACAACAACTACTGCTTCACCTTCGACAACTCCTGAGGTATCTACCACTACAACAGAAAGGTCGACAACAACTACTGTTTCCTCCACGTTAACGCCTGAAGAGCCCACTGCTACAACAGAAGCGTCTACAACAACTACTGTTGCACCTTCGACAACTCCTGAAGTATCTACCACTACAACAGAAGGGCCATCAACTACCACTGTTTCTTCAACGTTATCGCCTGAACAACCCACTACAACAGAAGGGTCGACAACAACCACTGTTTCTTCCACGCTAACGCCTGAAGAAACCACTACTACCAGAGAAGCGTCTACAACAACTACTCTTCCACCTTCTACAACACCTGAGGAATCTACCACTACAACAGAAGGGTCGACAACAACTACTCTTTCACCTTCTACAACACCTGAGGAATCTACCACTACAACAGAAGGGTCGACAACAACTACTCTTTCACCTTCTACAACACCTGAGGAATCTACCACTACAACAGAAGGGTCGACAACAACTACTCTTTCACCTTCTACAACACCTGAGGAATCTACCACTACAACAGAAGGGTCGACAACAACTACTCTTTCACCTTCTACAACACCTGAGGAATCTACTACTACAACAGAAGGGTCGACAACAACTACTGCTTCACCTTCGACAACTCCTGAGGAATCTACCACTACAACAGAAGGGTCGACAACAACTACTCTTTCACCTTCTACAACACCTGAGGAATCTACTACTACAACAGAAGGGTCGACAACAACTACTGCTTCACCTTCGACAACTCCTGAGGCATCTACCACTACAACAGAAGGGTCGACAACTACCACTGATTCTTCCACGCTAACGCCTGAGGAGTCCACTACTACAACAGAAGGGTCGACGACAACTACTCTTTCACCTTCTACAACACCTGAGGAATCTACTACTACAACAGAAGGGTCGACAACAACTACTGCTTCACCTTCGACAACTCCTGAGGCATCTACCACTACAACAGAAGGGTCGACAACTACCACTGTTTCTTCCACGCTGACGCCTGAAGAACCCACTACAACAGAAGGGTCGATAACAACTACTGTTTCCTCCACGTTAACGCCTGAAGAGCCCAGTACTACAACAGGAGCGTCTACAACAACTACTGTTTCACCTTTGACAACACCTGAGGGATCTACTACTACAGCAGGAGGGACGACAACAACTAATGTTTCACCATCGACAACACCTGAGGAATCTAATACTACAACAGGAGGGTCGACAACTACCACTGTTTCTTCCACACTAACGCCTGAGGCGGCCACTTCTACATCAGAAGGGTCGACGACAACTACTCTCTCACCTTCTACAACACCTGAGGAATCTACTACTTCAACAGAAGGGTCGACAACAACCACTGTTTCACCTTCCACAACACCTGAGGAATCTACTACTACAGCAGAAGGGTCGACAACAACTACTGTTTCACCTTCGACAACACCTGAGGAATCTACTACTACAACAGAAGGGTCGACAACAACTACAGGTTCACCTTCGATTGCACCTGAGGAGACTACTACCACAACAGAGGAATCGACAACAACTACTGTTTCACCTTCAGCAACACCTGAGGAATCTGCTACTACATCAGAAGTGTCGACAACAACTACTGTTTCCTCCACGTTAACGCCTGAAGAGCCCACTAATACAACAGAAGCGTCGACAACAACTACTGTTTCACCTTCGACAACACCTGAGGCATCTACCACTTCAACAGAAAGGTCGACAACAACTACTGTTTCCTCCACGTTAACGTCTGAAGAGCCCAGTACTACGACAGAAGCGTCGACAACAAATACTGTTTCACCTTCGACAACACCTGAAGAACCGACCACTACAACAGAAGGGTCGACAACAACTACAGTTTCACCTTCGACTACACCTGAGGCATCTACTACTACAGCAGAAGGGTCGACAACAACTACTGCTTCACCTTCGACAAATCCTGAGGCATCTACCACTACAACAGAAGGGTCGACAACTACCTCTGTTTCTTTCACGCTAACGCCTGAGGCTGCCACTACTACATCAGAAGGATCGACGACAACTACTCTTTCACCTTCTACAACACCTGAGGAATCTACTACTACAACAGAAGGGTCGACAACAATTACTGTTTCCTCCACCTTAACGCCTGAAGAGCCCACTACTACAACAGAAGCGTCTACAACAACTACTGTTTCACCTTCCACAACACATGAGGAATCTACTACTACAACAGAATGGTTGACAACAACTTCTGTTTCAACTTCGACAATTCCTGAGGCATCTTCCACTACAACAGAAGGGTCGACGACAACTACTATTTCACCTTCGACAACACCTGAGGAACCGACCCCTACAACAGAAGGGTTGACAACAACTACAGTTTCACCTTCGACTACACCTGAGGCGAATACTACCTCAACAGAGGAGTCGACAACAACTACTGTTACACCTTCCACAACACCTGAGGAATCTACTACCACATCAGAAGTGTCGACAACAACTACTGTTTTAATTTCTACAACACCTGAGGAATCTACTACTACAACAGAAGGTTCGACAACTATTACTGTATCACCTTCGACAACACCTGAGGATTCTACTACTACAGCAGAAGGGTCGACAACAACTACTGTTTCACCTTTGACAACTTCTGAGTCATCTACCACTACAACAGAAGGGTCGACAACTACCACTGATTCTTCCACGCTAACGCCTGTGGAGTCCACTACTACAACAGAAGAGTCGACGACAACTACTCTTTCACATTCTACAACACCTGAGGAATCTACTACTACAACAGAAGGGTCGACAACAACTACTGATTCACCTTC